CACACACACACACTGCCCGCCAGCCTCGCACTTACTGCGACACGCTCGGGAGCTGAGGGTCTCCAATCGCCGTCATCCTCCTACTGGGAGCCGCGTCGCCCGCGCTCATCCATGGCTCGTGAAGGTTTAACGTGGAAAGTTAAGCCATTCCTCCTCGTCCAGCGCGCCGTTCCCTCCCCTTCCGCGCGTCCGCTCTTTAACCAAAGCTGAGTACCACGGAGCAGTGCCCGTCACACGGTGTCTCTGTTGGTGCCCGAGCCTGCTGCCTCCCTCTCGCCGCTCGCTGAGGATGCAGCGATCGCGGCTGGCGGAGACTGAACATCGGGAGAGGGGTGAGGGAGGGGGTGCGGGGTACGCATATGCCCGGCGCATCGAAGGTCGCAGTGGGAGCAGAGGCTACGCGCAGCCTGGACACCTGCCCCACGCCCTCCTGCGAGTCCAGAACCGGGCTGTGGCGGTGGCTGGAGACTGGGAACCCTTGGGTATAAAAGTCGGGGGGGGGGAGGCAGGTGGGAGCGCGAGGAGGAGAGGAGGGCGCACTTTGGGGTGCGCCAGAGTCCAGCCACGGGGCTGGGGGAGGGGAGTTGCACGGTGGGAAGGGCGCGGAGTGGAGGATAGCCGCGGGAGTGGCTGGTCCTCGCTCAGCGCCTGGAGCTGCGGACCGCGCGGGAGCGGTTTAATGGCTCCGGGGATCCGCACCGAGACCGCCCAGGTGGGCGTGAAGGGGGCCCAAGTGTCGGGGCAGCGGGGCACCTTGGGAAAGCCTTTGTCTCTAACCCGCAGTGGGAGGGGCCTCCCCTCTTCCCGGACCTGCAGCGCCGACCTCGGCACCCCGCGGAGATCTGTCCTCCGAAGCGTCGCTTTGGGGACTGGGTGTGACTAGACCGGAAGGATCTGCTGAGCTTGCAGCGCGCACCTGCCTGGGCGCGAAGGGGCTCGCGGGCCCCCAGCCTGGCCACCCACGTGACTCTGCCCCGCGCGCTGGACACGCTGGAGGGACCTGGGCAGAGGCGCTTCCCATCCGTGGGGCGGTGCGGGCGGGGGAGCAGGATGGAGGGGACTGGACAACTGGGCCCGGTTCCTTTTGCTTACTCTTTGTTTCAGCCCCTTTTCATTGACTGGGCACTTCCTTGCAGGGGAGTTGTGTTTCCTTAAAATGGCGACAGGAAATCCCACCTGCGCGCCAGCCACCAATTAGACTGTCATCATAGAGCGAATTTGCGGGGCGGAAAATCGAGCTTTTTATTGACAGAAATGGTTCAATCTCCGTGTTCCATCAAAACAGGAAAGGGAAGGTGAATCATAAATTAATCCAGCTGGGGTGCTTCAAGCGGGCAGGCAGTAGTCAGTGTAATGGAGTGGCTAATGCTTTTTTTTTTTTTTTTTTTTTAGCACCACTGGAAAAGCGAGAGGACAGCCAAATTTCACAACCCTCATAACTAAAATCCTGTTGCCGTGGAATGGCAGTAAATGATCTTCTTTAGCTCAACAATGGCTTCCTGAGAACCCCATTTAGGAGGAATGCTTTTGAATAAACCTGAGAAACTGAACAGTCATTGCCAACAGAAGAGGGTAAAACGATGGGCAGCCTATCTCAGACAGACCTGCCATCAAATTCTGTCTGACAGTTATTGCTTCCTTCACCCACTTTTGTCCTTATCCTGTTCCCCACTTTGTTAAAAAAAAGGGGGGGGATTTAATAGGACCCACACCATAGTAATATTCTACAAGTTATCAAAAAGTTGATTCTCCCCCTCTCCCCTGTCCATCCTAGAAGCAGCTCATTTAGTATAAAATTACTCATTTTGAGTAGTGTGCATCTTGCCTGACTGGCACCATAATTCTTATGAAAAACTAAGAAGTCTGAATAGGCAAGGTAGGTAAACTATGGTCACAGGTCCATAAGCCTGTTGAAATGTTTACCTTATTAAGCAGAATGTATATTCACTAATGTTGGTTTGCAGAGCTTATCTTTTTTTAAAAATATATTTTATTGATTTTTTACAGAGAGGAAGGGATAGGGATAGAGAGTTAGAAACATCGATGAGAGAGAAACATCGATCAGCTGCCTCCTGCACACTCCCTACTGGGGATGTGCCCGAAACCAAGGTACATGCCCTTGACCGGAATCAAACCTGGGACCCTTCAGTCCGCAGGCCGATGCTCTATCCACTGAGCCAAACCGGTTAGGGCAGCGGTTCTCAACCTGTGGGTCGAGACCCCTTTGGGGGTCGAACGACCCTTTCACAGGGGTCGCCTAAGACCATCGGAAAACACATATATAATTACATATTGTTTTTGTGCTTAATCACTATCCTTTAATTATGTTCAATTTGTAACAATGAAATTGGGGGTCACCACAATATGAGGAACTGTATTAAAGGGTCGCGGCATTAGGAAAGTTGAGAACCACTGGGTTAGGGCATCTTTTGATTATAGTTTTAACTTACTTGCTAGTTTCAGTGCACCAAAAAAAACTGCAGTTACCTGGCATTTTTTGAATTGGATTCAATAGTGATGAATTGAGCTTCTACTCTTTGCCAGCTAAGCACTTCAGATATAAATATTCTCTCATTTAATCTTTGTAACCACTCAATTAAATATTATCCTCTTTGTATAAACAAGAAAGCAAGTTCTAAGTGGCTAAATTGGCCATATCACTTAAGACTAAGTGGTGAAAGGGCAAGTGATTCCTGTTCAGGTCTCAGTTCAAAAAGTCCATGCTTAGTCTTCACCATGATGCTATAACCTTTTGCAACTAGACATTCTTAGGCCTCGAATTTACAAGGATCTCCATCCCCATCTGGATTTTAGTTGACAACCTGTAACTGGAGTACACATGTCAACCTGGAGGCTGAAATGAAGAACTGTCACTATGGGGAGAATTGGGGGTAAGGAGGGAAGAGGTAGTGTTTACGACAAGTAACTTCCATGTGCATTTTTCTTCTTGCCTACTTGTAGGCGAAACTTCTTTTCAGAGTAAGTAGCTCAGCTCTTAAACCCAATTGCTGTGGTCTCAAATGGGGGAAAAGAATGCCATGATGACAACTGTCCACTTTGTGCTTTCTGAGAGATGGGTAACAGAATAAGCACTTTACAGATACTCTCCCATTTATTTTTTGTTGAATTTATTGGGGTTACATTGGTTAATAAAATTACATACATTTAAGGTGTACAGTTCAATAATACATCATCTGTATATTGTGTGTGTGTTCACCATGCCTGTATGGTCAATTAATATTTGACCAAGGAGGCAAGAACACTCAATGGGGTAAAGATAGTCTAGTCAATAAATGGTGATGGGAAAATTGGACAGAAATGTGCAAAAAAAGGGGGGGGGGACTAGATCACCTTCTTACACCATACACAAGAATAAACTCAAAATTGACTAAAGACTTAAATGTTAGACTCAAAATCATAAAAATTCTAGAAGAAAACATAGGCAGTAAAATTTTGATTATGGCAACATTTTTTTTTTATCTGATATATCTCCTTGGGCAAGGGAAACAAAAGAAAAAACAAACAATTGAGACTACATCAAACTAAAAAGTTTTTGCACAGCAAAGGAAGCCATCAACAAAAGACAACCCACTTAATGAGAGAACATATTCACCGATACATCAGATAAGTGGTTAATATCCAAAATTTATGAAGATTTATAAAACTCAACACCGCCCTGACCGGTTTGGCTTACTGGATGGAGCACTGGCCTGCGGACTCAGAGGTCCCGGGTTCGATTGCGGTCGGGGGCATGTGCCTTGGTTGCGGGCACATTCCCAGTGGGAGGTGTGCGGGAGGCGGCTGGTCGATGTTTCTCTCTCATCGATGTTTCTGACTCTCTGTCCCTCTCCCTTTCTCTCTGTAAAAAATCAATAAGATATATTTTTTTAAAAACTCAACACCAAAAAACCCCAAAAACAAACCAATTAAAAATGGGCAAAAGACTTGAATAGACACTTCTCTAAAGAGGACATACAGATGGCAGATGGTCTCTCATTTAATCCTCACAACATTCCTAAGAGGTGCCGACCATTCTAATCCCTGATTCGGAGATTAAGGAGCATATCCCAAGTTCACACAGCTCTAATGGGCACATCTAGGGCTTGAATCCAGAGCTGACTCCGAAGCCGATTCTCTATGCTTGACTCTAATATGTTCCCCGATGCTGGGTGAAAAAAGGTGAAGGGGTTAAGTACAAATGGGTAATTACAAAATAGTCACAGGGATGTAAAGTACAGCGTAGGGGATATAGTCAATTATATTGTAATAACTGTGATGCCAGGTGGGTACTCGAATAATAGGGAGATCACTTTGTGAACTATATGATTGCCCAACCACTGTGCTGTACGCATGAAACGAATACAAAATAATATTGAGTGTAATCTGTAATTGAAAAATAAAATAAAATGTTCCCTGATGCTACAACATCCCTCTTTGGAAGGCTAGGAGGTGGGACAGGTCCCAGATCACTCTGCCTTTAGATGTGAACCACTGCCCTGTGTCTAGAGAGTCCAGGGAATCAGTGTACTCTTTAATAGGTTTGTGAGCTCCAAGGGCACTGTTGATAGATTGAATGTTCCCAAAATGGTACTGAGGTAGTTGGGACACATTAACAGGTTGTATTATGACCTGCCCTGTGGAACTGAGAAAATAAAAATTCTGTATCTGCTCTGAAAGTGAGGCTGGAGAAGGAATTGGTACTGTAAGAGGAGAATTGAATCACTTCAGATCGCTTAGAGGTTTCTAGGAGTCCCGTAGGTCCTTTCTGTGTGGTTCCAGGAAGGAGGGACAGCTTTGTGATAAAGGCCAAGCACATCCAAAGAGGATTCAGCCTAAGCTTCAGCCACACCTGCTGCCAATCCAGCTTCACCCTGTAGTCACCGGGCTTGCACTGGCTCCCTGCCTGAGTTACCCAATAGGGCAGCTGGAAGCATTGCCACCAGCAATGCGCTTACAGAGA